ATGACATTGTTTTTTTCTTTCTCATATGAAAAAGCAAACGGAATGGAAAATATGCACATACTCGACTAGCATACGAATGATACATATACGTCTCAATTATCTACAGCTTTTTTTTATTTCATAAACTTCCATCTGTTGTTTTTCTTCTTTTGTTTCATATCTTGATTTACAAATCCTATTCAAATTGATTATGCTTCATGAATGTTTCCCATAGAAACAGATTCAACAATGTTGTAGAAATATGTAAAGCGGTTTTGTTATCGTATATGAATTAAACAATTTCGTTTAGTGATAAATGTAATCTTTAGAAAATATTTATAGATAAGTTAGAAGTTTACATGTAATTTGTTTTTTTCTTTTTTGTTTCATTCATTAACATATGTTGAATAACTTCTGGTTGAATTTTTCTTATTAGTTCGTATTGAAAAAAATATGTGAAAAATTTCTTCAATTCTTTTTCTGTTTCAAATTGATTATCAATAGTAGAGTGATTGATTGAGCATATATAAGAGAACAGAAATTTGGCATATTGATCGTTTCGTTCTACGTCATAACCATAGCCGATCAATCGTATGATGTGAGACGATAGACTAGATTGATTTGTTTCTACGTTAATATTTGATAGGTAAATAGTATTTCAATAATATATATTAAAATGATTCCATAACAGAGCAACTCTGCATTGCACTCTGAAAACTGACTCTGATGGAGTCGAAGTCACTAAAAAAAAATTTTTCGGAGCCGATGTCGGAGTTACACTAATCAAAACAGTCACGCATTTTTCCTCTTACACAGTAACAAGTTTTTACTTCTTATGTTAAGTATTGAACAAAAACACCTTATGTTATATATTCAAAAATAATATTTAAGAAAAAAAAAAATCAGCGAGAAAGTTTCATTCACGAATGGTACTACAAGAAGTATAAAATGGCTGTAAAAAATTGATTGTATATATCTTATGTCGACTTTTTCCTTTATGGTAACTAGCATAAAAAACTTAAATAATAGCTTGAATAGAGAAAATTATTTCCAATAAGGATTTTATTTTCATCAAATCTTCATAGAATTTTCAAAATCTAGAACTTCTGTAAAACTTCAAACCTAGCGTTTCTTTTTATTGTACAGAACAGTAGCGCAACTGATTTTCTACAAAATTATGCGTCTCTGAGTTTTTTACAATATTTTTTGACGGAACTGGCATTGATATTAAGAAACACCCAAAAATAGTTTTTTCGCCATTTCCGAAAAGGAAATAAGATAATAAGAATTGTAAGGCTTCTCTTATAATTTATGTAATTTAGTCAAAAAAGAAAATCGTAGAGAATTGCTCTATCATCTCGTGTAATCAAAGGAAACTTTTATTTTCGGCTTCTACAGGCCGAAAAACTAGGTTTATTCTCTATTCAAGTTATCATTAAGGAAAAAACTCGAAATAAAATTTATATGATCAATCTTAGGAATTACTGCATACCTAAGTTAAAAGAAATATTATTCTTTTTTCAGTGTCGAAGTCGTAAAAACTTGACTCTGCAGAGCTTTATTCCGCAGCGAGGAAAAAAATTTTACGTAGCTCATCATATCGTCTACTATGTTAGAAACTCGAAATTGGAGAAAATTTTTTGTTTGGTAATTTTTGCCATGGTTGGATTGAACTCATTGAGTTATCTGCAGAAACGTTGTTTTTGATTGGTTCAAACGATATTTTTGTAGTGAAACTTCAATTTAAAAAAAGCCTATAAAAGTTGAATTACTCGCAAATCATAAAATATTCGTAGTCTCAATATTTACCTGAATTGTTTTTTTTATTTTACTTGTCATAGAGCTCGGAAAAAACTAAGACGTGCTTTTTGAAAAATGTTGCTTGATTGTTGAGAAAACCGATTTTTCCAATATAATAGCAAAACACCTTGAATACATGGTAATATTCAGAGATTTTTGATCATCAGAACTTCAGTTCTAAACGAAGCAGATTATCACATTCAGAATCATCACAAAAATCTGCACCGAATACTATAGTCAATAGCTCAAACTAATTTTCGTCAAATTTTGACTTGATAAAAAGCACAGGTCAGAATATTTGTGAAACGAACATTGAGGTGATGTGAAGACCAAAGTTTGATAAATGTCTATTTCATAGGCACAATCTTAGAATAGAAACTTGTAGTTAAGACGTTTAACTATGAAGTTGAAAAAAACGATTTTCTCAACAATCACATGATATTTTTTAAAAAATCACGTCTAATTATTTTTAACTATATGATAAGTAAAATCCACAAGAAATTTCAGGTAAACATTGAAATTGCCACGACTTGATGCTGTTGGTATGTTTCAACTTTTGTAGGCTTTTCTGATTTTTATTAACCTAACTTTTACTATAAAAGTATCATTTGAATATCGTAAAAGTAATATTTTTATAGGTAACTCGATGAACTCTATCCAACCATAACAAAAAGGCGGTGAAAAAGAGGTTTTGCCCGAATTTCGAATTACTGTTACCTTACAAACTTCAAATTTAGTCAAGTTAAAATTTTTTAAAACTAACAAAGTACGCTTGTTTTTGTTGCAGAAATATTTTCCATTACAGTAGAAGAAGTATCATTCATGTGAAATGTTTATAACACTTGTTATATATGTAGCAGGGGTATAACCAGAGGGTGCCCAAAGGGCTCGAACATTCCTATAGTGTTTCTCTGATTAGAATTTAAGTGAATAATAGTTCGCAACCTGTCGAAAAGAAGTGAGTGTCATTTGCAAACGATGTAAGTAATGATATGTGAAGTTTATCGCAATTTGAAATAGGTTTTCATTCTTAAGCGAAGGTCAATTCAATCATTTCAGTAAAAGTTATATTTATCTGACTAGAATACAAGAATGGTTTTAAGGAAAATATTCACAGTAAATTTATTCTTCGACAAAGCTAAACTGTGGATTACTATTCAGTATGGCATTTTCGTGTTAAAAAATTTTTACTTATAATTGTGAGTACTTTAAATGAAGAAAAATTGGTTTGAATGACATGTTATCAATAATTTCTGTTGTAAATTAAATATGGCATCGCAATAGTAATACATCTAAATTTACTTAATAGTTTTTAGATGAGTAAATAGAAGAATTGTTTTTTTTAAGTTGTGAAGTGGATAAACATTTGTTTTTTGTATCTTTTTCACGAAAAAAAAATTTGGCATATAGTTTATTTTGTTTTGGATAATTGATTAGAAACAGTTGGGAAAGCAGTTGGAGCTTTTTTTGCACCCGTAAAAAACAGGTTCGTTTTTAATTTAGCTATGTTAGGGGAAAACCCAAAATATTTACGTATCTTGTGCATTTTCCTTGGCGAAATCCTGGCTATGGCCATGATATGTCGATAGTTCGACCATCGATGTAGAACTAAGCAAAAAAAAATGCACTTTCATATAGTCTGTCGATTAATATTCTTGATGTTAAACGACAAGTACAGTAGTAAGAAATTCAAATTTTATTATATTCTTCTTGATAATCAATTATTCATATTGACATATAAGATATAATCCATTCTTAAACTTTCTTACAAGAAATTTGATGCTAATACCTTTCATTTTTATTCTTGTAAAACATTTCATGCCACACACACACATCATTTTTCTATATTCTTTTTTTCTCTTATTGCATTCCATATAACGTGATTGTCATGATGACGACAACGTTAAGAAAATTCTTTTCTTTAAAATTTTATTTGATGCGTCACAGATTCAGTTAATTATCAATAAAACCTGTTTAATATTCTCTTGGAAAGAATCAACATAAATTGTTCATGTATATTATTGATTATCGTATCTGGTGTACCAACATGTTTGCAGCTTAATTTATTTTTTATATATTCTTGCATAGACAAAAGAGAAAGTTTTGTTTTTAGTTTCAAAAGATGTGCTTTCAAATTCTTGACAACGAATGTATGATAGACTTCCATTTGATTTGTCCTCATAGAATCGGAGAAAATTGCAAGAAAAAATACCTACAAAAACTTGCTGATTCCACTTATCATTTATATTCATACACCGAAATAAAAAAAAAGTTAGATGTTGTTAGAAGCATTCGTTGTTTAATTCTCTTCAATAATCAAAGTAAAAAGATCGATTTCATGAAAAGATGTGCATAATACTTTATTTAGAAAAACAAATTGTTACAATGATTTTGTTGATGTTTAAAAATCACTAATGAAGAATTCAAAGTGGCCAGGTGGCAATCAATTGTTTAGAACGAGAAATGAATTCAAATGAGAAGAAAGAAAACCAACAACGTATCATACATCATTTTCATTTAATCCTCTTCGAATCGACTATAATAAATCAGTTAGACTTTTTTTACTTTGATTATTGTAGAGACTCAACCAATAAATCTTTTCAAAAAAAAAGTCATTTTCTTTTAGACTTGTCGCTGCAAATATATGTGCGAGATAAACATTATTATGAACATTTTTGTGACTTTAATATAATAGGAATTAGCAATCTCTCATACGATTCTTTTTTCTTGTTAATGTCTAAAACCACATTAGAATATATTAAAAGGATTTTTTTCATATAGTTCTCTTGTAGAAAATTTAACGACGCATCTTTTGAAATACAATGCAAAATGTTATCATTTGTCTCTGTAGAGATATATGTTAAGAAAAAAACTATACTAAAAACATAATGAGACATTAGGTGTATGCGCAAATAAATAGACAACGAATCACTAAGGAAAGAAAAAAAAGAGACGTGAATGTTCCGTAAAAATAAAAGAGCGGATGAGAAAAAGAACATATGTGAAAAGTAATGAGTCTTTTTATTAGCTAGCAGAATACCGATAGAACAAGATAGAGAAAGAAAGAGAGAAGAGAAAACTGAGTGAAATTGACGGACTGAAAAATCTTTTTACTTGTTAGATACCAACAAACAAAATATATCACACAAGACGATGACAACGGCCAGTGACGGCAACCAACAAAACTAAAGAGTATACGTACGTTTACTTTCATGTAAAACATGGCATCATCTAAGTTGATTATTATATTATTTCTTCTCACTATTGGATACATAGAACAAAGTATGCAACAAAGAGTTTCTTTTATACATATATATACTAAGTTGATTATTCTTTTTTATAGTAACTAGTCAATGTCCCAGTCCATTTACGAATGATAATGTTACAAATTTCTGTTATTATTATAAACGAACATCTTTGCCATGGTCCGATGCTTATAATCAATGTTTAAGTAAAACTATTGATGGAATATTGATTCAAATATTTTCTATGAAACAATTTAATGATTTGAAAAATGCTAATATTGGTGAAAAAGGTTCTTTTTGGATAGGCGCAAATAACTTTGCATCATGTAAGTCAACGTGATAGATATCAGATTGACGAGCTTTTCTAGTATTTGTTTTTAACTTTTCATCGCTATTTTAACATGAAATATAGAAATATCTATAATTAGACATAAAACATGAAATCTGGAGTAAAAAAACGCTTCCGGCAATGTCTTTTTTTTTGACTCGAAGAAATTTTTCTTTGGCCTGAGTGAAAAGAAAAAAAACAAGTTTTGTACTAGGAAGTTCTCTTTCGCATGGATAAAAGAATTTCTTGTTTTTTTTATCAAGAAAATGTTAAATTCTAATTCTTTAGTTTGTTTTTATACTTTAATTTAAAAAAATTGTTTTCAATTTTTCTTTATTCTACAGTAAAGTTTTATTGAATATTCTTATTATACTAAAAGTATACAAATTTTTCATACAGACTCCTGAAATATATAATACCAAAAAACTAACCTAGATAAATAACAGAAAACGATTGTTTTATTGAAGAATACTTTTGATACAAATTCATATTAATTATTTATAAAAAAAATGAAATTTGATATTTATTCTATGTGTAAATTTTTAAATGAATAGTTCGTGATGCTCACTGGCATTGGCTTGATGGATCTATAGTCGATGATTCAGTCATTAAATGGTGTCCGAATAGTACACATGAAGTAGCAATTGGAGCTCATTGCGCAGCATACGATAGTACTTTACAATGTGTTACTAATTATTTATGCAGCACTTTATTACCGGCTCCATGTGTAATAGGTAAGTTTTCTATTCCAAACAAGCATGAGTGCAACCAGTTTTTGTTGGTTTTGATTATTAAAAAAAATTGATCACGATGCTAGTCATGGTCACAAAAGTTTGGTCTTGATTTTGCAGAGCCAACACCATTTTGCCCACATCTTATTTAAAGTGTTGATTTTTTTAAAAATATTTTCTACTTTAGCAACATATGGAATGAAAAAAGAAACAAAAAATACTTTAACTGGGCGTCAATCAAGTACCGATGTATGTACAAATGCATATGGAGGTGCTTATGCAAATTGGTGGACATATTCTGTTCTACTTCTGAATTGGTTTATACTATTCTGTTTTATTCTTTACTTAAGTAATCACTTTAATATTAATAAATATACAGTTATTTTAACAATATCGATTGTTATATTATCATTTATGATGATTATTGTATTTGCTATTTTATGGGGTGTACAATGTATGTAGAAGAAAATCATATTGTTTAGAAAAAAGGGCTTTTTTTTCTTTAGATCAAGACATTATACAAATACCATTAATTATAGTTATTCTTGGCTGTATAGCAAGTGCACTTTTTCTTATTGATATTTTAATTCTTGTATCGAATCGTACTCGTGGTAAGTGAGAATTATTTTCAGAAGAAAAAAAACGAAGACATTGTTATTTTGTATAGTACAAAAATGGATAGCATGTATGAGTGTAACAATTGTATCAATAGCTATTGAATTCTTTTTAATGCTTGGTCTTATTCTTTGTATTGCATATTGTTCAGCATATATTTCATTAGCAGAGACTAATCTAGAGAAAGGTAAATTAATACATTAAAAATATCTTTAATAAAAGTTATTTCATTATTATTATAGATATTATTGCATCACTTTTATCTGGATTGATTGCTGCTGTATCGATTATATTCGTCAATGCAATTTTGTTTCTCATAGGTATCGAATATTTAACTTATGCCAATAAATTTGATACATCTCTTGAATTGAGATGTATTGAAGTTGCCAGCACTAATTATGAGAGAACTCATTCGACTGATAATTTCTGTTTGAGCTCATATTCTACTCACAAGTAGCATTGATAATGTAGATGAAATCTTGAAATATGTTTTACCATTAGAAATTTTTTCTTGAGTTATGGCCACTTTACTGGACTTTTAGACCATTGCAGGATGTCATAAAAAAATCGCAACATCAAGTATTGATGTGACATTTTTATCAACAACAACTCTCATAATTCTTATAGTATCCTGCTAAGATAACACGTTTGCAACAAAATGGTACTTTGACCAAAGAGCTCGAGAAATAGTCCAGGTTTTAGGCATACGATATCTGAACAAGTAACCATTCGTTTGAGCTGAAACGTTTAGGACATCATGAAGATTATTAGAGTTATTGTTGGAGAGAATTTCAAGCCAAAACTCCTCACTAAGATTTTTCTCATTATATTCTGCCATAGACTGAAAGTTCTATAAAACGATCATAACTCAAAAAGAAAGGTCTAATAGTACAAAGCATTTTAGAATTTTTATCTAAATTATGGGTTGTACCGATGAACAAACTGTGAGATAAAGTAAATATTACCAATCAAATGAGTTCCCTCGTTAGAAAATAGCAGGATATAGCATCAGAAACAAGTTGAAAACTAGAGATTAGTTGGAATGGCTTTTTTTTAAAACTTCAGCCAAAAAGAGATTCAGTTTTGATATTAGGTTTACTAAAACTTTAGTCAGAATAGAACTTAAAATTATTTTCTACAACTGTCTACAAATTATAAATATTCTGCTACTATACTTTCAAGCATTTCGTTACTGATAGCCTTCTGCTTAGATGTTCAATTAGACATCGAACAAGACCAGTTTTTTTAATTTTAGTCCCGATCTCAAACTTCATCGGACGGGCATCAGTTTGCCAATGTCTAGTTAGAATGATCTCAAAGAGAAAATCGATTTTCGTCTATGCTTTTATTTTATTCATCTCTACTCTCCGATATTGCGATTAGATAATAATATTGAATTATTCTTTAGGAAATGCTGGTCAAGATCGTGTACATGTTGTGGCATCTACTAAACCAAATCCGAATACTTCACTTCCATTAACTACTAAACAAACACTTGTTCCTCGACAGTCACCAAATATTAATGGGATAAGTTCAAGTATACCAACTAAAAAATATGACAAAGTTGAACGAGCAACATCACCTGTCGATCAACGTATACTTAATGAATTTTATGCTGATCGTCCTAAAGATGTACATCAATATCATTTGGAAGGAAGACAATATGTTGTTTATGAAGGTGTACATTTAACTGATGTTGATACATATAGAAAAGGTAAATAGGAAAAGAGAAGAGAAAAAGTTCTTTTTATATTATTGGACATTTTATTAATAGAATTAACACAAGCAATGTTATTACAAGAATCGCAAGGTTTAAATGAAGCAATTAATCGAGCGAAAAGTTCTATTTATGCTGCAACACTTGCTGAAGAAATTAGTCAAGCTGAAAATTTAGCAAATCGATTAAAATAAAAGACTATATCAACATAAAATTTCACAATTTACAATTCGAGCAAATTCTTTGTTGGCGCTTTTTTGTCATGGTTGAATAGAGCTCGTCAATTTATTTATAAAAATTCTATTTTTTGACATATTATGTTTTCTTTGTGAGTGAACCATAGGTTGAACAAATTGGAAGTCTAGAAAAACTTGAATATTGCAAAATGATCAAGTGTCCATATTCTCAATATTTATTTGATATTTTATTTTGTTGATCATAAAGTTAGAAAAAAATTTGCATCACATTTGGAAAAATATTATTTTATTGTTAAGAAAATTGATAGAATAGCAACCTACACTTACCGAATAGTATCATCAATACTTGAAACAAATTTTTGTCAAGTTTCTTCCTTATCGAAAGCACAGATCAGATTATTCGACCATAACAGTGAGCGAGTGTAAGGACAAAAATTTTTTCTTAAGCATCGAGTGTAATATTCGATGCAGATTTTTCTATTAATTACTTGTTTCATTTGAAAATGAAGTTTTGATGGTCAAAATCTCTGAATAGATACTCGGATATATGGTGCTTCGGATTCATATCGGAAAAAAACTTATTTTCTCTACAATAAAACAATATTTTTCCAAAATGATCTATAATTTTTTTTTCTAATTATATGACGAGTAAAAAAATATATTGAATGCATGGTAGAGGCTGCCGAGACTGGATGGTGTGACATAGTTTCAATTTGGATTCTTTTAACCTAATTCATACTCAAAAAAAGTCATAGTTCAAACATGTCAAAAACGTCATTTTTGTGAATAAATTAACGAGCTCTATTCAAACCAAGATCAAAAAAAGAAATTCCACACATTTCAAATAGTTGGCACCTTACATTAACTCAATAAACAAAATTAAATCTTTCCTTTTGCTTTCTTGTTCTTCTTTTATCTTTCATTCCTATACGAATAATAAAATAAATTCTGACTTCTTGCCTGTCCTTTTTATTTTTGTACATGAACACAAAAAGGAAAAAAAACAATGACAAAATGTGTGTGTGTTTGTGTGGATGTGTGTGGATGATGAAACTATATATATATTTATATATGTACAACACAAAATGATCTTCATATCAGAAACAAATACAGAAGAAAACAACAATTTTGTTTGCCACCTTTCTAGTTTTCACAAAAAGAAATAGAAAGAAGAAAAAAAATATTTCGATCAACTAATAGTTTAATATATCATCATCAAGCACAATAACCATACATAGACTGATCTTTTAATAATAAGATATATGTATGTTATTTTAGAAATCTAATAGAAATGGGACAGAATCTTTTTTTCCTTTTTTTTAATAGAATAAACAAAAGCGGCAAATAAAATATTTACAAGTGAACACACAAACACAAATGAAAAGTATTAACCATCATTTGATCCCCCTCCTGCTCCTCCAGGTGCTAATCTTTGTTTCTTTGTTATTGATGGTGAAGAATTTGTATTTGAACCAGTTCGTTTTAATAGATTATTTGCCGTTGAATGATTAGACGGTGTTTGTTGTTGATCTTGTAACCATCGAACTTGTGTTGCTGGTCCATATCCACGTTCATTACGTGCTGCTATACGAAATATAATAGCTGGTTTACTACTTGTACTTATATCAAGATGGGCTTGATGAAGTTGTGCTGCATTCACGGAACATTCAGCTAATACACCACCATAAACACGAACAAAAGCCATTTGTGATGCTTGTTGTTGTTGACGTGGTATTGTATTATCAGTTGCTGAATTTTTTACTGCTAAATAGACCGCATAACCAGTAATTAAAGGTGAAGCATTCGATGGAGGATCCCAAGTTAGATGCGCACCACCATCAGAAGTCTAAAGAAAACAAAAACGAAACTTTCGAATATGAAAAAGAATTTATATTGAAATTATACCTTTGTAATTTTAATATTAGATGGTGCCGGTGGTGAACCAGGTAAGCACGTTTTAAATGCAGCCGCTTCACTCCATGGACCTCGACCACATGCATTTACAGCCGCTATACGCAATTTATAGATAACACCTGGTTCAAGATCAACTTTTCTTACTAAATTATGTACTTGAAGTGAATCAAGATCCTAGAAAAACATAAATCAAACATATGCTATGCGCAAAATTCAACTCAATCTAAAAGTTCTCATGTCAAACTCTACTAAATGAAATTAAAATGTGTTTTTGATAAATCGAAGATCTCAAAAACAAAAGATCAATAACTATGGTATGGTATGAGATAAGACTGAGAAGTCTGACAGATGCGTAACTCAGCATTCGAGCCAGAGTCTCGGAAAAAGGGGCACTGCGTAGGCAATTTTCACAAGTAGGAGGACACGACTCGAATGAGCGAATTTCGGAATATCGAACTCCCTATAAGTTACGTTTAAAGATGTGTGGGACAAACCTCTTCTGGTTCTGTTGTTAGTTTAGAGACAACTATGGTAGAATTTGTATGATATTTCAAAAAAAAAATTCTTGTCATTGCAGTTCGCTCATGCGCGCTAATTGTTAACCTATGTTCAAGTTCATGAGATCATCAGAGAAAAATATTTTGATTCTGTCAGATTAAAATTAAATGAAAATACATACATAATTATCGATATTGATTTTTGATGGAACAACATAATAATGTTTAATATCTACTGTTGTTGTTTTAAATGTTCCAACTAGATGCCAACCATCATTATCATCATTATCTGATGATTTTAAATCATTTGAAACTGTTTGTTGTTGTTGTAAGTCAATTTTCGAATTGCCGTTTATTGTTGTTTGAGAACTTTCATGATTATCTTTTAAATAGAAATATAAAATATAAGAATTTCTATTCATAAGTTTTTTTTTCTATTATTTACTTAAGAGTTGTTGGGATCCAGTATTGATCATTTGTCCGAAGTCTGTTGTTGATTGTTGTTGTGCTGGACTAGAAGAATTTCGTACATCTAAAACAGAATTATACATTATCAATCTTCTTTTGTTTTCTTTTGTAGTATTTACCAGGTGTACCGTTTTGTAGTGACTAAAATAAAAAAAAATAAATAAATGAAAATATAAGAATAAATTTATTCTTTGTTGTTAGAAAATATTTACCTGATCATCAACAGTTCCATCTAATTGAGGAATTCCACTATCCATTATTGGTTCTTGTTGACCATTATCAATATTTGTTGTTGTATTAACTGTTGTTGAATTAGATTGATCAATATTTTTCATTTGTAATGTAAATTTCGGTTGTTGTCCACTTGTAGTTGAAAATGTATTTTGATTTAAAACTAATATTTGTTGTGGAGATTGTGATGGTATCGTTTTTTGTTGCGTATTAGCTGCTAATAATATTGGTTGTTGTTGTCGATTAGATGTTTGTGCCGTAATTGCTTTAATAACTAATGGTTGTTGTTGTTTATTTGTATTTAATTGTATAATTTGTTGTTGTCCTGTGCCTGGTCGAACAGTTGTTGTTGCTGGTGACATTAAACGAACAATTGTTGTTGGTTGAGTTGATGAACCACGTACAACAGGTGTTAATTGTTGAACACGTACACCGGCAGGCATAACAGTAAGAAGTTGTGGTTGTGTAGAAGTTGCTGATGGTTTTTGATGAAAGATTATTGGACGAACAGTATTTGATACATTAGTAGAGTTAGTATTAACAAATTGTATATTTGATGTTGTTGCTGGTCGAACGGCTAAAATAGAAAAAAAATTTCTCATTGACTTTTTATTTTGTTACACAAATATTTACTTTGTGTTGAATTAAATAATGCTGTTGGTTGATTATGTTGTACAGATGAAGAAATAGTTGTTGGTGTTGTTTTTTGAAATAATGATGAATTATTTATACTGTTCGAAGGTGATATAGAAACATTTGGTAATGTTTGGGCATTAACTGTACTAATGGATGATGAATATGGTGCTTGTGACGATGATGAGAAATGAACTAATGAAAGTAAATCTGATGCAGATTTATTTAGACTTGTTGTTGTTGTGGATGAAAGACATTGATCGACAACGCCATCTAGATATTATCATTAAAGAAAAAAAAATTTTCAATGCCTTTCCTGTAGAATTAATATGTGGAACTCATGTGTTCTTGAGCTTTATTATAAACTAATACCGAATACGTCAAACGAAATATCTTTAGTATAGTTGTTTTCGAGATATAATCGAGTGCTCTTGTGCATATCTATTCTATCTACAGTAGATTATTGTACATCAAATTTCATTCTTTTTAATAGAAAGACAGATGAAAAATGTAACCGCTCAGTCAACATAATAAAATACAAGATTTTTAATAGTATTATATTCTTATATGTTTGCATGTGATGAATAATCAACTTCGAGGCTTGAAATTAAAGTTATAACTTGTCGAAAATCACAATTCAATCGGTAGAAATGATCTTGAGATATTATTAAAAAAGTGATCGGTGAGATGCTTGATTAATTTTCAGTACCACTGTATATATATATATCGATAAACTCAAGAGAAAAGGTCCCCTAAGTGATATATTTCTTTTCATCTGAAACTATATTCGATCAATAGAACCTAGTGAATAGGTAAATACAATTGAGTGGTTCGAGCTATTGGATCTTTGTTACTGAAATTTTCAATTTTGACTTTGTTCACAGAATGAAACTAAGTCGATTAGCTGGTAGAAAAAATTACTGAATATTTGAGCGAATATTTATAAGATATGAATGTTTCATAATATCCAAATTTTACACAATAATTATTATAAAACGTCTATATCTTAAAGATTCATACTTCAGAGACGTGTTTACTTTGTCACAAGATCCCATCAACTGAATATAATTTTAGCTTAAAAGCAATCTATCACTTGTGAACTTTCCCTCGTCTGAATGTGGCACTAATATTACAACCATTAAATTTTCGAATAAAACTTCGAAATTTTTACAGAAGTCAAAGTCTTAGTACTACTACTACTCACAATTTTTTTCTCTTTTTATTGAAACATACTCAATGACTGCTGGCCTTTTTTTCCTCTTTCCTCACTACAAATAGAAATCGTGAAATCTTGACTCAAAACTTACACTAACTATATTTTTCTTTAAAAAATATCTAATGCATTTCAAACAAAATATTGAATATGAAATCTAATTTACCTGTATCCGAAATAGCTGACACCGATACACTTGGTGATTGTTGTTCTAAAATGAAATTATTCAATGAACTTTATTTATTTATTGAATATTATTTACCATTTGAAAATGTTGGAATTAATGATGCAAGAACTAAATTATAAATATTTATAATTTGTTATTACTAGACGATATTTTTTTTACCTGATTGTGGACTTTTCGAAGCGAAAAGTGAAGCCGATATTGATTGTAATGGTAGAGGTGGAGGATGTATTGATGGTGGTTGAGATGTAACCGGAAGAACAGGAGGTGTTGGTGGAGGTTGTTCCACGGGTGCTTCAAAACGTTGAATTTGTAATATATAAGAATCAGCTAGAATTAAAAAAAACAATACATCAAATTGATCAAATAAAAATATTTCTATCATAATGAATATACCAGTCGGAACAGGATTCCATGATACTTCCAAATTTCCGATGCCTGCTTTAAGTAATTGCACTTTTTCTGGTTCACCTGGACATGCTGTTTCTAAACACCATAAATCTTTACAACAAACCTATGCAGAAATTTTTTTTTAAGTTTCAAATCATAAATCAAATTCATTTTTATCTACTTGATTATTCCAAGCTTTTCTATATCCATCACGTCCACTCCAAATATACATTCTTGTATTAACAGCAACAGCACAATGACCAGCACGTGCTCGCGGCACATTATCATCAAGGCATTCTTGTCCAAGAAGTTCCCAAGCATTTGTTTCTAATAGAAGGGAAGAAAATAAAAACAATCTATTCAATTTCGATTAAGAAAATATTCTTTTTTTACCTAAATTAAAAGCTGCTAATGTATTCGTACATTTCCATTCCTTTTCATTGGCATATTGATCATTTTTATCCGATATAATCAATGGAACCCAACCGCCAAATATAAACATTCTAATAATAAAAAAAAAGAATAAAAATAAATATGTAATAAAAAATCAATTCACCGATTTCCCATAACAACAGCTGAATGAAGACTACGTGGTTGTGGAGCCAAACCAGATGGTGTTATTTGTGTCCATTGTGAAAAATCTACTTTCGTAAATATATATATATATATATATATTCATTGAATTTTTTATTCCTACCAAGATGAAAACTCCAAAGATCTCCTAAACGATGACCATTCATGCCACCATAGATAATTAATTTTGGTCGATTTTCAATTTGACCACGATAAAAAACACATGAATGGGATTCACGTTCACTTGGTGGTGTACTACGAACAATAGGTTGTTCCCAAGCACAATTATTACCTTTATATTCAAGTGCATAGAGATCATTTAAATATCTAAAACTATTATCTAAGCAAATTTTTGTTTGATTTTTTTATTCATATCTTACCGTGGAACATTCTGTTTTGGATCTTTACTATCATTAGCTAAACCACCAAATAAATAATATTTTCCTTCAGCATATGTTAATGTATGTCCTAAAATATATATAATAAATGATGAAAACAAACAGAAAAATCATATGTATAACATTTACCAAGTCGAGCACATGGTAAAGGAGCCGTTCGAGGTGCTCGAGGTTTTAATTTTTTCCATTCCCATTTAATTGGATTTAATTCCCAGAGATCAGCTGAATATTTTCCATATTCAACCATACCACCAAAGACAAGAATTCGTTGACCATCAGTTGCAAAACCAAAAGCAGCACAACCTGTTGGTACATCACCTTTCATTAATGGTTGAAACCATTGATTTGTAGCTTAAATAAATAAAGAAAATGTATTGAAAAATTTTTTAAAATTCAATATTCTATGTGTTTCAATAAACTTACCACAATTATAAACATTAAGATCTTCAACAATGCCTTCATTACCACCACCAAATATAATAATTAGATCTTTGACAGCTACTGCTCGATGACCATGACGTGGTTTGGGATTTTGGCCGATGGTTCCATCAAGCCGTTTCCATTGAACTTTTGTTGTCATCTCATCGGCATTAATTTTTATTGATCGATTGACCGGAAGTTAAGACACAAAAAGAAGAATAATGAATGAACAAATGTAAGATATACAGACAGAGAGATAGCCACTAGTCAATAGCCATGATGATAATTAGGAGATAGATGCCTCTATCAAGACTTTTTTGACAGTTGAAAAATCTTTTATACAAATAATTAAACTTCGTATTGAATCAAATTTTAAAAAGTTATTTATTAAATACAATTATTAAGCATACATGTAACAACACACTTATGCATTTTCTGGTATCAACTACCTTTTTCTTGCTATATGGAGGCGTTTCCATAGTTATTCACAATGAAGATGGTTGCTATACTCAATCAAATTTCAATATTGCATTGATATTAGTAATATCTAGGGTGTCTCAACCTAGAGGAGAGGTATCAGAAGGGTGACTCTCCTGATCTTTAGAAGTGTATTCTAACTAATATTTTCTGAGGACGAAAAGTGGATTTTTTCAGTTTATTTTTATGGTACAGCACTGCATGAAGATGAGAGTAGCTGATTTTGTTGAAGAAAATAACACCTAGTCTTCAAGATGACTCAATGTATTTTCTTAACGGAAAAATAATAAATTTAACTTGTTCCTTTTTGTTTTTTCAGAAAACGTAACTTTTTTCTTGTATTTTACAATGTGTCATTGGTTACATTAGGAAAAAATATTTTTTTTTAGATTTCTATGAGAAACGCTATATCCTATCATGTTGAGTATATTGAAAAGAATCAAAATGAAATAAAGCGAATTTTTTCAGTGTCTGATTTCTATGAATTGAGAATATTGAAATCGTAATAGTTGTCTCGATTTTGCACACGTAGATTGTACGATTTTTTCATACACACTATTTTATCGTACAGATGTTATCATACAATTTTAAAAATATCATTAAGTAGTTTACTAGAAAATCGAGCTAGGTAGAACTTAGTTCTCATCCTCTATTACCACTATACGCTGGCCTCCGATTGTGAATTTTAAAAAAAATAGGAATCCTTAGAGAATCAAGTTTGTCTAAAATATAGGATTTCTGATAAAAAATGACAAAAATATAGGATTTATTATATATTGTTTCTGCTTAATTTTTCTGCTTTTGTTAATTTCTTCGCTTAATATCTTTCTAATGAAAGAAGCAAGAACAGGAGGCTCGCCATCAGGATTCTTATCTGATTCATTTCTACTGAAATGAATAGTTACGTCAAATATCGTTAGTAACTTTAATTAAAGTTTTAGAACCTTTTTCACTTATCAATAAATAATGAAAAAAAGGAGACCATAAACTTTGGAAGGATAAAACGAAAAAAACTCAAATAATATTTGTCATGTTTAAAAGACTGGGAACCTTTTCTTAACAATTCGGCCCAATTAGAAGCTGAAGTTACATCCATGTGAAACTTTTAGCAAACATTCAACACAATGATAGTAATCATTCTTGAAATTTTCAGTTGAATTGGTTAAACTTTCCCTTGATTTCGCAACTTCTCAATTTCGGCATTTTTCAGAAGAGCCAGAGACTACAATATTAAGATAGTTTCTCAGTTATTTAATATACCATTCGGTACAGCATTAAATTCAGAGTAAAGTCGTATGAAAGTCACAAATGATAGATCAACATTTCTTTAAAAACAGACACATCCTCATGCAAAGGTCATATTACTCTACTACGAAATCTCTGGAACCTTTTGTTCTCTTAAGTTTGATTCAGGTCCAACGCTATTTTTCTAGGAACATTAGCAATCAATAGGTGCTACAATATTACAAACACAATAGGATGAAAAACTCTGTCCTCGTCTTATCATAACGAACACAGTCCATAAAATTTAGAAAAAAATACTAAACCACGAAAATTGTCGCCCGGCCTCGCCCAATAAAGACTTAATTTTTTTTCGTGCAGGAAAATAGAAAAGATCTAACTTAATTTGATTTGTTTTCAACTGAAAAATCCTTTTTAAGTGACACTAATTGAATACAATATAGGTCTAATTTTCCAAATTCTAAAGATAAATTTTAATTCTTTTATGTGTTTCTTAATCAATTTTCGAAAAATAGTGCCAAGTGGAAAGCTTATGCTGATGGAACATAAAAGGCGAAAATCAGTTAAAACCAATCTTGAAAACTAAAAACCACTAGCGCATTCAGTACTGAACAACACTATTTAAAAATGTCATCGTAATGTACGAGTTTGTGCAAAACATATGGCCACACACTATATATGTTGTTCAACGTCTGAACACTATACTAGAACAAAAACAAAACTTACAGTTTTTCGAAAATTTTCTCCTTTTTTCGATAAAATATCGGCAAAATAGGAATTTTTATTGAAATATAGAACAAAAATAGGACTTTTTCAAAAATATAGGAATTGTAGGAAATGTAGGTCGAATGGCAGTCAAGGTTGTTGTCTATCACCATATCACTCCGGTTCGTTGTCTTAAATATTGAATAAAGTGGATTTGATTTTGCATTATTTACACATGGATCTTCTAATATATCATTTATTACTTTCATGTCATTTCCCATTTGCGTTTCATAATAAAGTTGAAGATGATGGGAGACCTGAAATATTGCATAATGAATTGATGCTGAAACAGATATGGATTTTGTACATCGAACATCAATACGACATAGATAATATCTATTCAAAATTTCGAAACAAAACAACATAAGAATTTCTATTCTTTTGTTTTTCAAAATTAAAACTAATACGTTAATTGTTGAATATCATCTGATATAAAGGCGATTTCGTTATCTAATACTTGATAAAACATTGGTAATGATGTACCTTGAATAGTTGCATGAGAATTAAGATAAAACTCAAAACCATTTGGTGAAACAATATTGGTATCAATAACTGTTCCTACAATCAGCAAAAACAAATATTCAAACAACGAAATCAAATAAAATCCAGTTAACCCGGTTCAATATTATTTGCTTGATTATATTGTTCATCTCATGTAAAAAAAAAGTGCACGATGACGTTTTTTAATAAGAACAAAACAAATTTGAGGTATTTGATTATAACCATATAATTCTATGGCAAAAAAGAATTTATTTATTTGATTCGGTCTTTGAATAATCATATTTACCTTGACATGCTCGTTGAATAGCCTGTAATTCATTATCAAATACTTTTTGAAATGATTCATCATCAGGACCAATTGAATAAAAAAATAAGTTTATTCTGTAAATGTGAATTATGATTTGAAAATACACGTATTAAATTACCAATATAAATATGAAGAGTTTTGATGAATGCAAATGCTATTTTTCCTTCTGTTGAGAATTCTTTTTAAAACACAACCATAATATTGTGTATTTGTAGAATCTTTTGATCCAGTATTGGCAACTATGGATGAGCGTTCATGTGAACATGTTATCTAACTACAATCAATACCAAAAAACATAAATATATCAGATCGAGCTGATGGTGATGTTAATGCATGCATTCAGGGCTGTCGCGAAGGGTTAAAGATTGGGGGGGGGTTGAAAAATTTTTCGAATATTTGTCAAAAACTTCTATAAATTATCGGCATCTTGAAAAAAATTTTGGAAATTTTTCGCAAATTTTTCAAGATTTTTGAAAATTTTTGGTGAGTTTTTGAAAGTTTTTCGAAATTTTTTGAAAATTTTCGAAGATGTTTAGAAATTTTTGAAGAATTTTTAGAAATTTTTCGAAAATTCTTCTGAAATTTTTGAGAATTTAATAAGAATTTTTAAAAACCATCAAGCAAAAAAACAAAATTTCCGAAGATTGGGGGGGGGGGACCCCCCCCCCCCCCCCCCCCCCTGGTCGCGACAGCCCTGCATGCATTAATGATACAGATTGATTAACACTACCTAATTTTGCATTGAATTTTTGAACCAAATTCTTTGAAGGAATTTGCTTATTAGAATTTTAAAAAAGTCAAATGAAAAGAAGTTACTTGCGTATGTATATCCATTTTCCGAGGATCACTATTGGACATAAGTCGATTGAAAGGTATACATTGAGTTACCATACGTTAAAAATAACTCTTGTTCATAATCAATCTTTTACTTTCTGTTTGACATGATACTCTTATGTACTCCTTTTTTTGAAATTTGTTCTGCGACTCTCTATAATTTTATTTCTCAGTTCAAATATCTCTGTCGAGAGTCATATCTTCACACTTTGGAAAAACACTGAGATATAAAAATAAACCATAGATTTTAGACAACTATCTTATGTATTCGTGTGCTTATTTGACAAGAACAGTAATTGTTTCATGTATATAATACAAATAAATCTTACCATTTTTCAGATTTCCAAAAAATTAAATCAGATGATAAATGTCATCTTCAACTTGATGAAGTATATAAAGAATAACTTCACATCCTTGTATTTTAAGTTCATTCATACAAGCTAATATTGTTTGTGGCATAGCTGCATCAGATTTTTCGATAGATGGTGAATTAAATCGAATACCATATTTCGACATAACACGTAATAAAAGAACAACAAGTTATTTTTTTATTGATCACTAAGAAACTCAGTTAAAACCTGTAGAATTCTATTAGCGAAATCTCTTTGTAAACAAATTTTTCGATTATCTGGTTCATGTGGACTAATAAATACAACAGCCCATGTACATATTTCATGTGTTTTATTAAAACGATTATTTAACCACCATTTACCAATTTCTACCCGTTCAATAACATCAACATCTTGATCATCATATGATAATTTATTCTTGATTTTTGGCGGTGATAATACTCGAGCTGGTAGCATTAACATTTCATTAAAATCAACAGTAAGACCAAATTTTTCTAAATATGAATTATGATTAAATCGACATTCATCAACAACACGTCGAATCATTCTATAACATTCATCAGGATGAACAACAGTTTTGTTTGTTGCTTTAGCATGTTATTCACTTGTGAATGGTTGTAAATTTGGTTGCCCTTCATATACATTAACTAATTCCATTAGTAAAAAATATGATTGATTTTTATTGTTTTCATATCATACAGTTCAGCAACCAGTAAATGTGTGTAATATAAACAAATATTCCATGTATCATGAAAGTAATCAACAACTGTAATATGTTCACTTTCATTTTTAGTATATTTATGTTCCTTTACTGGACGGCCAAATGATTTTAAACGATATCGACAAACTTTCTCTGTATATCATATAACAAACCAAAGAGATTTTAAAATTTTTTGAACAAGTAATGGATGATCTTTTGATGAAATACCTACAACATGAAAACATCAATATTTTCATCAAACAGTTCGAATAAAGGATCACCATGTTTACGAATGTCATAGTTTAAATAGCAAGTAATACATTCCACTAAGTTGTAATTTTGATAAAAGCAACCAAATTTATTATTAATATTCAATGTTGGATTACATTCACCGTGTACAATTGCTTGATAAAATCCTAATACTATTCCTGTTCCACAACCTGAAACAAAAATACTCATATATGAAAAATTTAGGTCGATTTTTTTATTTCTACCAATATCGTCCGAATGGTTTCTATTTACCCCAAATTGTGGTTCCCTGAATTCATCCCTAAATTGCATCCACATTTGTGAATAATTAAACAATTAGGGTCAATAGTGGTGACCAAGTAGAGATATTAATTTAGGGATTTCTTTTTATATGAAATATGCTGCACATCGCTTAATTCAATATCATCTTGCTTCGATTGATTATCATTTACCACAAATTGCTGTTCTTTAAAATCATCTCTAAATCATATTCACATTTAGTTGGCTATCATTTACCACAAATTTTGGTTCCCTGATTTATCTCTAAATCATACTCATATTTGTGAATAATTAAACAATTATGATCAACACTGGTGGCCCGATAGGGAGTTTTTAATTTATAAATCTTTTAAATATCAGATATGCCATACATAGTATAATCCAATGGTAGGTTATCATTTCTCACAAATGGTGATTTCCTGAATCGATTCCTAAATCAGGTCCACATTTGTGGACTATCAAACAATTCAAGTTAATTGTGGTGACCAAGTAGGGACTTTTCATTTGGAAGCTTTTTGCTGTAAAACATTACACATGGATCTCTCATAGTGAACATCATTATAAGTCGGTTCTTTTTACGACCTGGTGCAATGATTAGTTTCTAGTTTTCAGAATAGGTACTAGTGACCAGTTTTTGTTAAAATAACAATATCTGGTGACCAAATTTGTAAAAACACCTGAGTCTAATGATTACTTCTTTTTGAAAGATCTGTAACTGGTCACCAGACCTAGTCGTTTTAAGAAAAAATAGTTCCTAGTTATAGTTCTTCGAAAAGGATCTGGTCACCAGCTCGATTTATTTCATTACGATCTGGTCACCATATACAATTCTTTCAAGAGAAATAGGTCACTAGCTCCAGTATTATAATATAATCGGATTACCAGATCCAATTCTTTTAAGAAGGCTAGTCACCAATTATCGTTCTTCTAAACGAAAGTAGTCATCAGACCCAGTTCTTGTTACAAATTTGGTCACCAGATATTGTTATTTTAACAAAAACTGCTCACTAGTACCTATTCGGAAAACTAGAAACTAATCATTGCACTAGGTCGTAAAAAGAACCGACTTATAATGATGTTGACTATGAGAGACCCATGTGTAATGTTTTACAGCAAAAAGCTTCCAAATGAAAAGTCCCTACTTGGTCACCACAATTAACATGAATTGTTTGATAGTCCACAAATGTGGACCTGATTTAGGAATCGATTCAGGAAATCACCATTTGTGAGAAATGATAACCTACCATTGGATTATACTATGTATGGCATATTTGATATTTAAAAGATTTATAAATTAAAAACTCCCTATCGGGTCACCAGTGTTGATCATAATTGTTTAATTATTCACAAATATGAGTATGATTTGGAGATAAATCAGGGGTCCATAATTTGTGGTCGAAGCAAGATGATATGATGAGTGTGAGTGTGGGTGGGGTGTGGGTGTGGGTGCGGGTGTGGATGTGGGTGTGGGTGTGTGGGTGTGGGTGTGGGTGGACGTGGTTGTGAACGAGGAGAAAATCTACACCGACACCCACCCACACCATATTCGCTGTTGCGTTGGCTATTTTAGAGTATCGATACAGTGTTTACCAAAAGCCTGGGATTTGGGAGTTGTTTAGCATTTTTGAAAGGGATGGGAGCATGCAATCGGATTCTTAAGGTATGCACCCGATGGAATTCGTGGGACTTTATCTTGACTTATGGTTTCACCGCCTGCTGCGCTGTTTCGGCGAATGTGGCAGTGGTTCCCAAAGTTGTCTGTTTTTATATGGGGTTTTTCGCCAGTATTTCCAGGTTTTCTATGTGATGATAGGTTCAATCGTAGATTTTAAGTAGTGATTCTGGTAGAGCTCCTCGAGTTTTACGTTGCTCCACTGTTTTCGTTGTTTGATTTGTTATTTCGGCGAATCCATTCAGGAAATACTCGTTTTCTGAGGCAAGATATGCTGCGTTGTAACGTGTTGAACATAGAAAAACAACATATCAGAAGAATGAAAACTGACTCTTTTTAGGTTCATTTCAGCCTTTTTGATCGAACTTACTTTTTCTTTTGTCTTTTGATTTCAATACAATTTTTTCTCGTGTTCTTCGTTTTTTTGAAAATGGATTCTAGATTTATGTGAATCTACCTTTTATGTATTCTGGTTTTTAGAGTAAGTTTTTAACAATGGAGTTTTTGACATAGGTTGACTGTTATAACATGTTTTTACCTATGTTTGCGCAGTTAAAGTTCATTTCAAATTTAAACTATGCTAAAACAAGAAGATTTTCAGTATCTATAACTATAATCATGTATATCTCTCGAAGTCAATCACTGAAAATCGTCTGACACCGATTATAACTAAAGCAACACAAAGAAAAATAATCAATTAATTGTTTTAAATAAGAGCATAGATATGTTTTCTAGATGATTTATTCACTTTTCTTTAAACAAAGATTTATTTTTTTACAAAAAACAAAGTAAAGATTAACATGCGATGAATGATGGATTTTTTTCTGCATATAAAAATGTTCTATAAGTATAATGATACACAACCTTATGTATTATAGTTTTACTGCCCAATTTCAGGTATTCAGTACATTTATTTAATACACATTGTCGTTCAACATATGGATAAACGAATTTCAGTTTGGTACAATAGATAAAAAGAGCACGATTTCTCAACTTTCTTTCATATTTATGAGAATATGGAAAAGCATAACAGCCCGTTTCAATGTATCTCATCTTGCGTGATTCAAAGTGAGCCATTGGTTCTCGAGGTGCGTATAACCATAATACTCCTAAAGGACGAAGTATTAGAGGAAATACATCTGCAAGACGAACGGGACAACTTCGCGGCTCTCCTAATAGCCAAACATGTGTGCCATTTTGATCATGATAAAATATATCGATAAAAGGAAAACGCCATGGTGTTTTACCAGCATGAGGACACCAGGAGAAAAATATCTTATCATAATTACGCTTATTATATAATTGCATTATAATAATTGAATAGGGCTCTGCTGAAAGTTCTCGAATAATAATTGATTGTAAACGATAACGATCCGAAACTGAAACACATAGATCAACATCATCATCCCATGGTAATATATCATGACGTGTATAACTACCTGAAATAAACCAGAAATATTAAACTATTATATTTTTTTTAATTGTAGCTACCGAGTAGTGTAGCAGCCATCATCGTATATGAAATATTATATTTATTAAAAACATTTTCAATGAGTATTGATAAAAGATGCATATAAATAGCATGTTCACATGGCGTAATTGCACGAGGCATAAGTGAACTTGAACGCCATTGAGAGTATGAATATGGAATAGAGCCATTTTCAGGATGAATTCGAATTGAAGTCTTTGATGTTCGTTCAACATTGATATGTTGATACATTTGACGACAAAATCGTGTGTATCGAGCATCTTCGGTAGCATTCGGAGGTACGTATTCATACAAAACAAAAGATTGGTTATGAATGATAATTGACAATGGACAAAAAATGCACAAAGTAACAATAATGAAAAAAAAATATTGATTTGATCGTCTAAAATGGCTAAAACGTATCATCATTAGTTCTTTCTCCCTTTTTCGATCTCCTATAGACTTATCGTTAATTAAAAATAGCAAGTAACAGCTTGTATATTTTCAAACGTTCTTCAATGCTATGGATTGAATATAGAATAAATGAATGTGGTAAAACAAAGGATACGCTGACGACACCTGCATAAGTTTTATAGAATAGTAAAATATCCTTCATTCGTCATTTTGACTGCGTACTGATCAATCGCACATTTTTCTTTCCTTCATTGTTAAATATATATATATATATATATCATTGTTCTATCATGCACATGATGTGTCTTCATATTTATACAAATTATCGATAATCCAGTCATTACATGACTAATTATCCTTCCTCCAAAAAACAAAATGATTCAGTCGAATTATCAACAAAACTGTTATTCTATTGATAATTTAAATGGCCAATCGTCTCACGTTTGTTCCAATCAACAGTGTCTTTATTCAACTTCACATTACCCATGTCCTGAAAAGCGCTAAAATATTGATGATCAATCGTGATATATCAAAATGATAGTTGTGAGCTGAAACACGATTAATCGCCGTTTTATTTGTGGTATTTTTAACGATTATTACGATAAATCGCGATTTACTCATCAATTATTCTCAACGTTAGCCGTGATGTAAAGGATGAACTAATCTAATAAAACTGCGATTTATCAGCAATTTTACTTTTCTTCAATTGACTAGATCTATTCTTTTTTATTTCAAAGAATATCCATCATTTATATCAAGTAACAAAAAAAAACATTATAATGTAATATCTACGGGATTTTAACAAAGTTTAATTATAACGTAGAACAAACTATATAAAAGAACTATAATAAATGCCATGGATACGTGTCAAAGACAGATGACAAAGAGATAACTGTAACGCTTCCGGTTGATTGGATTTCATACATGATACTTAACCTTCCCATATCACTCACTCGTATATTATACATTGTCCTTATCTTTCTATTCTTATGCTTCTGTCCTTATCCTATTGTTCTCCTATATCGGCTCTCTCCTTGGTCTAATCTCCTCTCTTTTCATCCTCTCTTCTTCTACTTGCGTATATAAGCGTGTGATATGTATGTAAACGATGCGATTATATGATATGAAGGAATAGAATAAAGTGTAATACCATCAGCACTAATACCCTTTCTATCAAAAATCGTCACAATAGCAATCACCCCTATCAAGTAAACTTCATGAAGTATGGATATGACATACTAATAGCACCAAACCCAATCTAATTGGGTTAGGAATACTAGCATAATTACAAGTGAAAGAAAAAAACAACAAAAAACTTACATATATAAATATAACTAATAAAAAATACGAAAAACCACCAAAACTATTACAAAGAAATGCACACATTAGAAAGCAATATCATGAGTTTCAGATTTTTTCACTTGGTACAATCATTAGAATGATTCATTTATTCCTATTATTTGAGGACTTTGTCATGTAGATAATGTCGTGGTATTGATTGATTCTCAATAGTCGCTGTAACTTACATGAAAAAAAAACATTTAAAAATATTTTATCATATATCTACAAAAAAATGGCATCGACTAAGGTATTGTACCCTGAAAGTTAGATGTCTAAAAGATATTGCGAAAGAAAATAAAGCAATGCGACATAAAGTGATAATAATGTTGATAGTAGTCATTGATTCAATACTGACTATTATAGGAATTCGTACTATTTGAATGACTCTCATGCTATTTCTTACATTTCGAAAGACAGTTAATTGACACTTCTAGAATAGCACATGCATCACATTAAAATAGATATCGCGCGAAAGTAGACTTATGGGGCTGATACAAATGAATACAAAGAAATGAATGAAACGTTCATCATTTCTACGATTGTTCAATGAAGTGGATGCTCTGCTAGTGACATTAAAATTAGAAATAAGTTGCCTTGCATCATGTGAGAATTACGTTTCCTTCTTGAGAAATTTACATATTTAATGTGCATTTATATATATATATATATATATATTAAAAGATTAATTATTTCAGAAGACACCAGTTCTCGACTGAAAAATTTGCGATTAATCGCGATGAATCATTTCGATTTTGCAGTGATCTTCATTAGTCGATTTTTGTATCAATATCGCGACCTAATCTGAGAGTTTGGATGTGGGTTGATGGCTGCGGGGTGTCTGGGTGTGAGTGCCTCGTTCATCTACACCCGCATTCATCCATTCACACTCACACCCACATCTATACCTACACTCTTTTGTGGAAAGCTATCGATGATATTCGATTCGATGGAACTTGACGAGATAATCACAATTGTCACCTTTATTTTGAGTTCAAACTGTAATACGGGTGGCTTGAAATGGGTTTCTGAGCACTAAGCTCGACTTTTTGGGCATCCTGTCATATAGCCTAAAAGCACTTTCATCAGTTTTCGCTACTAGCTTAACTAGGATATGCATGTAGGAGGATCCAGCACAATTTGAGCACAACCGGATGTCATTCCTTTGTGGCGTTTAGAATATACGACATGATACGGTTTCCCACTAGTTTTCCGTTAAAAATCAACGAAAAACTTATTGAAAAGCTATGAAATACGTAATAACTGATTCAACATCCCTCTTTTTTTTTATGATTTTTCGAGTACTAATACTTTTCTCATATAAATACTAAGCCACTATTCTTAAGTTTCCAAACAATAATGGAATGAGAAAATAGTATCCTTTTTCTATCTGCGTTGTCGTTCCCAGTATTGTTAGAAAATTTCTTAGAAAGCCTAAAAAAGTTCATTTACTGTAATTTTCTTTTTTTTATTGAAACCACACAATACTTTTCGGAATTTTATTGAAGATGTTTAGCCGTTATACTGCTACTTTTCTGCTTGCTTTTTTTAAATTATTGATCCTCATAGTAGTGCGTTACTATACGGGCTATCCAAATTGATTGATGCAATTTTATTTTCCTCTTCCATTAATTAGTTATGTTTGTCTTGATCGTTACCTTTATCAAAAAAATGAAATCTAGATTACTTTGATACTCTTAGTTTCACCAGATCAATATATTTACTGTTTCTTTTTTTAAAAGAGAAACGAAGAAAGCTGACGTAAGTTAGTATATTTCCTTTTTATGCTTTACTTATTTCATAGTTTACGAATATTTTGTAGAAGAAACAAGGTGGAAAAACATGCTTTATTTTTCCACTTGTTTTTTATGACTATCGTTCGTCATTTTTCTTGGAAAAAACAACACGAAAGTGGAGAAACTTACTTTTGTTTACCTACTTTTTATTTTGATTATTTCAATGGTTTGCGATGATTTTATAGAAGGAACACTATAAAAAGAACTAATTTTCTTTTCTATTGTTTCAGTTGGTTATATCGAGTATTGCGCGTCATTTTTCTGAGAAAAATTTAACAGGTTAGTTTTGTTTGATTTTTCTTTCATCATTGAATTATTCTGTAAATGATCGCATGTTTAAAAAAAAAAGGGAACTATCGCATTACTTAGCTCGACGTCTTTTCCCTAAAAACTGTTCCTAAACTGGGGTGGATGTCGACTTCGGTGAGTATTTATCCCACACTCACAACCATAAATAGAATGCATTCGTAAGAATATTCGGTAGAAGTTTGAGTTGGATCAAACGTTGTCCCTTTCTACCGTTCTGAACATAATAAACGGTATGGCTTTGGGCCAGTTTTACCGTTTAAAATGAACCGAAAGCTTCGTGAAAAGCTTTCATGTACCTATGATTCGATGCAACTTGACAAACTGATTCTGAATATCATTTTGGTTTTTCTTCACAAGTTAACATCGGTGCCTGAAATCCCATCTCCCACGACAAGCCTTGATCTTTTGCACATCCTGTGAAATTGGCTAGGAAAGGTCTTATGAGTTTTGGCTATCACTATAAATAGGATAAACCCCTCCCCATAATAGAAGCCCCTCCCATATTAGAAGCCCCCCCTTATTAGAAGCCCCCCTTGGAGGGGTCTCTCCAGCAAAATTTTTAGTTTTGCCCAGCAAAACCCGGCCAAAGTTTGCAGGATCTAATAGAAGCCCCCCGGGGGCTTCTAATATGGGGAGGGGTTTACATGTCTCCGAGTATTCGGTAAGAATTTGAGGTCATTCGCACGTTATCCATGTGTAGCACTGAGAATATACGAACCGGTGTGGTTTTGGGTCGGGTTTAGCGTTAAAAGTGAACTGAAATTTTCTTGAAGACCCATTTAATACATATGATTCAATCTGGCTAGACGAGCTGATTTCCAATATCGCTTTGACTTTTGTTCACAGTGTAACATGAGTTTCTCAAACCGAACCTCCGGTCTCAAACATCTGGTTTTTGGGTACTCTGTCAAATAGTCTAGAAATGATTTGATTACTTTCCGCTGCTACCGTAAGTAGAATGCATACCGAGGAGCATCTGGTTGAAAATTATAGCTCAATCAGATATTATCCCTTTGTAGCGTTAAGGATATACGGAACGATATGGTTTCGGGCGGGTTTATCGTTAAAGGCGAACCAAAACTGCTTGAAAGCTATTCAATTTGTATGGTTGCATCCAATTTCACGAGCTCATTGCGACTACTAAGTTGGTTTTCCTTCAAAGTATAAGAAAGGTGACTAAAATCGGATCCCCAACCAAAAACGTTGAGCTTTGCACACCCTGTGAAATAATCTACGAAAGATTGCATGAGTTTTGGGTAGCACCATCAGGAGGATTTATATGTATGAGTATCTGGTGAAAATTTCAGCTCGATCGAATATCATCCCTTTCTAGCTTACAGAATATACGGAACCCTATGATTCTGATCCGGTTCTACCGGTTTGGAATGAACTGAAAAATTGTTGAAAAGCTATTGCATATGTGCGACTTGATGCAACTGGACAAGATGATTCTGAAAATCAAGTAAGTTTTCCTTCAAAGAGTAAGAAAGGTGACTAAAATAGGATACTCGCCCAGCTACTTTGGGCTTTTGTAGACTCTTTGAAGTAACCTAGGAAAGCCTTTAGGAATTTTCGCTACTACCATAAGTAGCATACATATTAAGCTATGTCCGATAAAAATTTGAGCTCGATTGGATGTTATCCTTTTGTAGAGTGCAGAATATAGAGAACGATATAGTTTTCGGCCCCGTTCACCATTAAAAATGAATCGAAACCTTTTTGAAAAGACATCGAATATGTATAACTCGATGCAACTTGACGAGATAATTCCGAAAATCTTAGTGTTTTCGGTGGGTGTAGGTGCGGGTTGAGAACAAGAAACGCACACCCTCACCATCAATCATCAGTTACACAAAATCACAGTGAAATTGATCAAATAGACATCCAACAAGTTATTTCCGATGCCTACCATGAAGTTATTGATATGCTAGATGTTCTAGAAATATTGAACTTACTGAAAAAAAACATGTTCTTGACTTAAAATCATTAAGTGAATATGTGTTTCGACAATTAAATTCAAATTAAAAAATGTACGACTACTCATCTCAAGTAGACAACTTGAATGATGAAGTTTTTGAAACAGATGATGATGATGAAACAACAAATGATCTTAACATAGATGATGACAATAATGATAGTTTTTCCTCTAATGGCGATTACACGGATGAAGACGAACAAAATAACACTCGAGATTTAATAAATACCATAAAAAAACGACTTTTTTGGAGTAAGAATCTTCGATACAGTCCCGTCTCATATACAACACACTTATTTTAAAGTTACAATTAATTATCATACAAAATATTTACATAAACACACTGCTTGTTGGTTATTAACAGGTGAAAAAAATAAACTGTCAGCTGACCGGTTACTCTGAGTAAAGGAAATCAATAAAAAAGAATAAATAGATGTCTTTTTTTTATGTAATATTTTGTTCGATTTTGTTGTTGAATAAACGGTATTTTGTTTAATTTAAAGTTTTAGAATCAGCGAATGTGCTACACATAGACAATAGCAAGATGCTGTGCGCTCGTCTCAAAATCGAAATCAGCATCTGTTCCATTTGATGTAACGATTGATGAAATAGTCAACATACAATAGTATCAGATATCTATAATGAACTTGTGAAGAGCTTCTGAGAATTTCATTTGAAGCACTCCAAGAGACTTCATTGGACTGAAGTCCGCTGCTTCTCCTTTGCTAAAAACTCTATCAAGATATCCATGCAAACTTTTATTCTCGTTACGCTATAAATGCAAAAATCTTTCTATTAATAGACATTCTCAGAAGAGTATTAGTTTAGTAAAAACTAGAAAATTTTAAATATTAGTCAGTTTACAAAATCATCAAGAACAATGGAAACAAATTAATAATATGATTTTGGTGTAGCTTTTTAAGAAACACACAAGGAACTCTTCCCTTGATGGCTAGTCGGTTTTGGAGGAATACTATTCGAGAAATCTATTCATATGGCTGTTACAAAACTTTCCTTAGATTAGTTGAGACAATCTTCTGCTGCTTTAAGATTTGATTAAATGAGTAACTGTTGGCTATACAAATTCGTTCTCTAAACTTTCTTTCTTCAAAATAAGTTTTGGCATTATGCCAAAGACTTTTGTACCGTAAATCGTATCTGTATCTTTTTTTATCACGTAATACACTGAGTCATCTGTTTGTCGTGTTTTAATGCTTGAAATTGATACAACAAAAACAGAGAAAGATAGAACTCAAAACATCTGTATTTGCCATTTTTGTTAGTTATTTAATATTCATATTCATTGAAGATATTATTTTCTTGTTCAGTTTCTACTATAAACAAATATAAAAGAGCAAAAAAAGGATAAGACTAGAGAAATGTGAAAACAAGACAAGAAAAAATTTGAACGATATCATCGTATGTTCATTATAATTTTTATATTGGCTCATTGATTGGCTCATTGCTCATTGAGAACAAGTTTAACTATTGATGCGACATTCTTAAAGTAAAAACTAAAATTAACTGAATCAGGAAGAGTACTTTGCAACATAAAATCATCCATACAGATTAGAAATGTTGTCATATCCATTATTGTTATTGTAACACATTTTATATACTGACAGTTTATATAGAACTTAAATAGCAAATTTCATTGTAGCTCAAGTAGTAAAAACATCTAGCCAGATGAGTTCAAGTCAAATAAAGACACACTTTAGGGTTAACATGATAATTCATCTTATTCGGACTATGAATATACACTAAACTTAGTCTAGTGCGAAAAAAATTAGTAATGGGACCGATAGTAATGCAATATTGAAAATCTATTCATGTTGTATCAGCGCTTATTCTAATGAAGTCTAAATCAGGTAACATTGAACAGTGTTTTTCTTCGAGCTGCTTTAGCTCAGTAGTTATTTGCTTGTCTTCTAATGTGTTTCATCTTCTGTTCTTCTGTTCGAATATCTATTGCAACCTGTGTTAACTCGACATAATCGTATATGCGTAAATGATAGAACAGCAGAATTGGACTACAGGGTTGATACTCGAGTGTCTATCTTTTTTCTTCGCTTTTTGATACTCTGAGACAAGAGCTTCGCGTCAGTGTTTTAGCAGCAGCAAAGCGCATAAATTCTGGTCAATTTAACGCATTTCGCAGAAATTTACATCATGAGATGCTCATTCTGTGTACACAGTCAGATGAATCTTTATTACAATATCGTGTACATGAGAATTTCACTGCACCATCTGTTCACATTGCTATTTTATCTTATGTTAAATACAAAACAGTATAATGTCAACGTTTGATCGATTTAAAATAAATATTGATGAAAACATCATTATAAACATAGAAAAACATAGATTCAACAATAAAACATTTTCATTTCATCTTCATACTTCAAAATTCTAATTGTAAAACTCATTAACTTGCTTGACAATTCTTATAACAACGCAAACCAATATGTGACCATATAGAGTGAAGAGAGTTAAACAGATGAAGAATGATTGATACTGGCTTTAACCTTTTTGCAAATTAAGTTTTTCCAATAAATTAAGCAGGTGGAACAATTTCTTTCACCCGAAAACTAATCGTTAATCAAAGTATATAAGTCACTATTCAAATCTCGAAAAAGTTCACTTTCATTTCTTCACATAATTTTCATATTGTTGCCTACTGTGGCGTATTTAGTTTTTGAAAAACATGCTAAAAATAAGTGTTGAAAAAAACCAATGAGAACAGCTCTTTCGTATCAACTTATCATCAATAAAAAAATACAACGAAATCATTCACGTTGATATGGTATGAAAGTGGTATAATATCAATAAGAAATTGTTTTCTTTTTTGTTTTGCTATTTAGTAAAAAACAGCATCTCTTATATAGATGTCATTATAGAGTACTATTAATCATTCGAAGATACCTAACGAATGATATAAATCTTTTAGTTCATATATACTATAGATCTATTATTATATTGTCTCATAATGACTAAGAACAAAAATTAATGTAGTACGATTTATTTAACTAATTCTAGCTTTGTAAATCCCAATGTGCTTCCCTTGAATTTGCATACATTTTATAGAATAAACTATTGAGGTGAATTGCATCATATATGAGAAAGAACAAAACAAATATAGGCTTTCTGCATTATAAATGATGGTGATAATAATAAACCTGATTCACATTATTACTTTGATAGCATTATTTTTTTCAATTTTCTAGATATATATTCAACAAGCCAAAGAGAATTGTTGAGCATCTATGACAAACTTCTCACCTCCGAATACACATATAATGGAGGAAAAGCCAGTGTATTTGGAACGAACACGACTAAAACTTCAACTTGCAAAAAATATTCATGAAAAATTCGAAATCAAAATTTGTAATAAAGACTTCATTATTTATCCAAATGTTTTCAATCCAAATATTTTTTTCGGCACCGAATTTTTAGCTAAAGAATTAATTACAATAATATCTGAATTTCATGACAAACCACCGAAATTACTCGAAATTGGAACAGGTGCGGGTTACATGTCAATATTAGCTGTGTTAAATGGTGTATCTCATGCCACATGTACTGATATCAATAACAATGCTCTTGAAAATGCAAAAGAAAATGCTATTAAATACAATATTATCGATCGAATAACTATTAAATATAGTGATGTCTTTAGTGCATTAAACTCTAATGATAAATTTGATATTATTTTCTGGAATCATCCATTTGGTCATATTGACAAACCAGTAGAAGAACTAGAACTATTAGAGCGAGCACTTATAGATCCATTCTATCAATCTCTTGATAAATATTTAAAGTACGCTAATGAGTATTTGAATTCTGATAAAGGACGATTATTTATTGGCTTTTCAATTACAGCCGGTTATCAAGAAATTTTTGAATATATAGCAAAAAACTATAATTGGAATGTTTATCTTAGAAATGAAATAAAATCAGATACAAACACCGTCATGCAAATTGGTATGTATGAACTGACGAAAATTCAATAGAAAATGAAACCATATTTGTTCTTTCAACTTCACATAATTTTCTGCATTTATGAGCTATGAACATCCTCAACGTAATGTAAAGTTAAAAGAAAAAATGCAAATAAAACTTAATACAGAGAAACAAGAACGAGATTTGGGTGTGTTTTATTTAAATTTATTGGCAATGCAAACGAACCATTGATGATAAAAAGAAGAGAAACTAAGAGTAAATATGAAGAAAAAAGTGGCAATATATCAACAAATATAACAACAACGATAACGATAAATAATCATAATGTATTTTTTAATTGAAGCATGAAAAACTAAAATAAAAGTATCCTCGAGAAATTCAATATAATAGTATCGTAAAAATGTAACAATTTTTTTCTTTGGCTTATGCAACAGTGACGGATTTAGCTAAATTTCTTGGGCAATCAACATCATAACCACGTAAAACAGCAATATGAAATGAAAGTAATTGCATTGGTACAACACATAAAATACCTTGAAGACAATCAACTGTACGCGGTACAGCAATATATCGAGATGTTAATTTTATTAATTCTTGATCATCGTCATTACAAATTAATACCGGTTGACCACCACGAGCTTGAACTTGTGAATATGCATTCATACATTTCTAAATATTCAATTAATCATAAGACTTTTAAAAAAACATTAATAAACATACTGTTTTAACAGGATCATCCATAATAATCATAACAATTGGCATTGCATGATCTACCATAGCTAATGGACCATGTTTTAATTCCCCCGCGAGAATACCTTCGGAATGCATGTATGTTAATTCTTTTAATTTCTAAATTTTATACATAAAAAAAAATACAAAAAGAAAAAACAAAACTGTTCAAGTCTTACCAAAGCAGCTTCAAGACATGTAGCAAAATTAAAACCACGACCCATAACTAATAATGATGATTCTTTATATAAAGCTTCAGCATATTCATGCATTTTTTTATCACATTCAAGTACTCTTTTAATAAGATCTGGTAATTGTTGAAGACCATCAATAATAGCTTTACGTCTTGGTTCTTTCGAAATTGAATCTTCGGACAAGACAAGACCAAAAAGAACAAGAGCAAGAAATTGACTTGTATATGCTTTTGTACTTGCCACACCTAAACCAATTGAAAATGCAAAGATTCCTTTTTAAATATAATTCACTTACGAGAGAACTATCGCAATTGCAATTCATCGTTTAAGCTCATATTGAGCATACAACGAGATTCCGATAAGGTGAAAAAGAGCTTAGTAAGGCTCGTTCCTATGGATCTTTGCAGCTGAGTTATGACTGTTTTATTGAATTTTTGATATATCTTTAGGCATTTATTAAAAATAAACTAACTTATTATCAATGTTAAATTTCGGGCGTAGAGAGATTTGATTACTGTTACAATAACTTGAAAGTTTCAATCAAAAAGAATGTTTCTTTCTCGAAATATTCGGTTTTCGATTAAACTTGGGTTTCATGACATATTATATGGTAAACAGCTATGTTTTGTAAATTCAATATCTCAACAAAGAACTTTCTTTTCGAATGAAATTCTCAGGATATTCTAAGGATCCTCAAAGCGATGCATGGGTAAAATTTCACATTCAAATTCCATTATTTGGTTTTTGAGCAAATACTTAAAAACGGATCGAAAATTAAGTACCAAAGTCATGAGTAGGCTCTAAAACCCTTTTCAATTTTTTCTAGTCTTACCGATACCTTTTTGTGTAGCCAATATAAATTCAGATGACTGGCTACAGTTATTGCAGTTACTTCGTTCTTATGGATTCTTTCTTAAAAAATACTTCTCCAAACAATTAATCTTCCAGGTGAACATTTAGTTTTGCCTTACACAGAATCTCCGTATAGACGAATTTTTCTAACAACTAGTCAATTCATTTAACAGTCTGACCCCCTTCTAAATACACTCTTTTTATAAGTAGATCGTTTTTCGGTAAGGCTCTTCCTACAGCCAGCTTTCATATTGAAGACATGGCTCAAAGCTTCTATCAACTAGATCAATTATATTTCGCATTTTAATTAACTGGAAATTCTGATGAAAACTTTTTTCAAACCTACCAATTTCAGGTCCAGCATTAATATGAACACCACAATGTGATTCACGTGAAATACTTGATCCAACTGTATTTGTAAAACCAACAATAAGCGCACCGCGTTGTTTACAATAACGCAAAGCTAAGCTTGTATCAGCTGTTTCACCTAAAATAAATCAAAATTTTTTCATAGAAAATTCTTTGAAGAAAAAAAGGAAATCTAAACCTGATTGTGAAACAAAGATACAAACGTCATCTCGAAAAACTGGTGTATTTCGATCAAGAAAATCCGAAGCAAGTTCAACCATAACTGGTAATTCAGATAATTCTTCAAGTAATTGTCGTGTAGCAACAGCTGAATGATAACTTGTACCACAAGCAATTAAAATTAAACGACGACAACGACGAATTTCATTCACATAATCTTTTATACCACCAAGTACAACTTTTTTTGTACTGAAATTTACGCGACCACGCATTGTATTAACAATGGATTCCGGCTGTTCAAAAATTTCTTTTTGCATAAAATATTTATAGTTACCTTAGAAAAAACAAGAAAGAAGAAAATTAAATGTTAGAAAAACATTAAAAAAAATGAAGTTAAATACCTTTCATAATTTGTTGTAATTCAATTTTAAGTTCATGAATTTCACGAATTGCTGATTGACCTGTTACTTCACCATGTTGTGTACGATGAATTGTTAATGCACCATTATTAACAACTGCAAGATCATCATCTTCCATGAAAATAACTTGATTTGTATGTTCAATAATAGCACTATGAAAAAGGAAACATTCTTTTTTGTATCATCTTTAACACTCTAGTTGTTTTATGTGCATCAAACATCATGAGATTAAAGTAAGAATTAGTTTTTTTTTTCGCCTATGAAAATGTGTCAGTATCTTCAGGTCGTCACTATTGATGAGCGTTGATGACTTAAGGAACCGATCAAAAGATTTTTGCTAGTGTTGATCGATTTCAGGAAGGAGGTTGCGTTTTGTTTTAGGAATCAGTGAGCAAAACAAAACCAATAAAACGCTGGAATCCCATTGAAAAAGAACCACAATTTCTCAAGTAAATAACTTTGGATATTTCGGTTATTTCAATCATAAGACCAGACAGAGAGCGGCTATTGTGAGATATTGTCATATATATATGGCTCCTCGTCTCAAAAAATTCATAAGTTCTTTTCTCTATCTATATTTTTCCCTTGTTTACTTTCTTGTTCAGCATTTTTTCACCATTCACTGAGTGTCAAAAGGAAGATTTGGGCAATTACTATTCTATACTTCTTTCGAAGATACTAGGAGTATCATATTGGAATGTATTGAACAAATCCGTTGTTGACTTGTCACTTTTCAAGCACTTGGCTTTCAATACAATGAGAAACCAATACCTTAAATGTCTGAAAAATTCAATTTCTCACATTCACGAGCATAAGTTTGACTTATTCTCATTATTCCCGCTTTTCTTTCTGTAATTATAGACAAACTATTATGAATGTCACTCAATTGGGTATTCTCTTTCTTCTTCCTTTCTCCGTCATAAAATTCGTCATATTATCTCACACTATTTCAAATTCTCATCCCTTCTTACGATCGGTGTACTTCTTCTTGTTGCTGCTGTAATATGTGTATTCCTTTTCTCGGGAATCCCGTGTTATGATGTACGTTCCTTTATCTCTTTGTTATAGTGATATGCATGTACACCATTACCCGTTGTAACTTTCTGAAACCTACTTATACGACGATGTATGGATAGCCTATTTTCTCTTAATGTACACATGAGTCATCGATCATATTTTAGTAGTCAAGAGGTTTGGATTTTTCAATAAAGCATAGTAAAAGAAATGAGTTTTTAAGAAATTTTTCTTAAACTCTTTCATGTAGAGTCGATTAAAAGTCTCTCTGAAATATACCTAGCATCTGAAGCAAAATAATATTCAATACTACGATCATTGCCAGTAACTGATAATTCCGATGTTGATGGATCAGTAATCATTAATGGAGGTGAAAAAACACCACGCAAATCTAAATAGAATTATTAAATAAGTAAAAATTATAGATATATATATATAAATATTAAAATCAAACAAGTATAGGAGCAAATCTGAGTATATATATCATGCAAGAAAAGAAGTACATGCATCTATATTGTTTGCTTTTATCTTTCAACGAACATTGCTTTTTTTTCGGATTCTATTTACTTGCTGACGTAGTTTCAAATAAATGAATATCATTACGTGAATCTTTGCTATTTTGATGATTGAATAAATCTATATGAAAAATTATTTATTAACAAGTTTTAACTTCAAAATCATACAACAATTATTCTTTCCTAAATAAATACTACTATCCCTTTTATCTTAATCCACTGAAGTACAAAAAAAAGAGGTAAAAAAAACTTTTCTTTTTGTTCATGTTATATGAAAGCATTTTATATAGACAAATGCAAAGCAACACACAAGTGTAAACATGGTGAATTACAAATATTCAATAAGCTGGTAGTATAAATCATGCTATTTAATTATTAATCAAGTATGATATAAAAATCCACAACACACTTTGATTAAATTACCTTTGGAAAGTCGAGGATTTGAAAGATCTAATATCTCATATTGCTCAATAAGATTTTAAACACATTTCTCAATCGCATCAATATTTACCTTTACTAAACAAAACTGGAATATGATTAGCAGCTAATTGATCTGCACATTTAACTCCAATAACCATTGGACTTCCACGACTAAAAAAAACTTCTCTATAATTTATTAATTTAAATAAAATTTTTAATATACCGTGTAGCACATAATTCACCAGGAAAATGTGTACTTTTAAAAAGAAGTGCAAAAGCACCTTCCTGAAAGAAAAAATTACAAAAATCAAATGGTGAAGAAACTAACGAATTTTTTCTATTGTTTTCATTAAATAATTTACCAATTGTGAACAAGCCA